TCGCTGATTGGCTCGGCCTTGGCCAGCAGCAGGTCTGTCTTAAAGCCAGCTGGCATTGGCTATATCTGACATAGGGGAAACTTCTAGCAACTTCGTACAGAAGCCACCCCTGTATCCCCCTGCTACCAAAACCTTGCCACGCAGACCCGTTACAATATGTATATAAATGAATATTGCTCAGAGAAATGTGACAGTTCATTTTCTTGCAGTAAGGCAAAATTATATTACAGAATGTTTTGGTGTACACAAACAAGTTGCTATTTAAAACAGAATTATCCAAGTGAGTTGCTGAGTGTAAAAACATTTTTTATGAGTTGCCATTTATTTGCTTATGAAGATATTTTTCTAATTTTTTGTTTATTACTTTAGAAGTTTCTGATGCAGTGTGAATCCAGATTCATAAAGCCAGTAGCTTAAGAGAAATGCAGATGTTGACTTTGATTCAGATTTGTGGATCTTTGCCTATGCAGGCCTTCATATTCAATTGAGTATGTTCAGTCATTGACATTCATGTTGTTTTTTCTGAATTTCAAATACCAATTATGAGTGTGTGAAACAGATCAATAGTAGGCCAGTGATAATGCTGTGAGATCTCTATTTATTTGAACTAGTTGGCTGCGTCTATACTAGTAAAGTGAGTGTGTATGGAGACGTTTTCAGCACTGAGGCCAACTAGCTCAGTGATGCATGTACATGCTAGTAAGATCTCTTGGTCTCCAAAACGGAGTGGCTGCAATATGAACAGCCTATGTCCAAACAGAAATGATTATTGTGGGTTTTATGGGACAGAGCTAGCTGACACAGGCTGAAGGCATGCCAAGGGCTATTCAAAACAGTTTTACAGAAAAGCTGATCTCATTCTAATGCATAGGAATGTTCCTGACTGTTGTTAAATTTACCAGTCTGTATGTCATCATTAGCTCTGAAACACTGAGAAGGTGTGAAGATACCGTGAAGTGGGTCTGTGCTGTCATGCCATAATCTGTGTCAGGTCGTAAAAGGCGTAATTAAATTTCATAACCTCACTAATCATAGGTACTACTCCTCTCAAATCCTAAAAATATCATGCAAGGTCTGATCCAAAGCCCAATGTAGTCAACAGAAAAACACAGATGTATACATATGCATATATACAGCTGCATATATGTAAACTATATGCAATTTTAATAAACAGGAAATTCAGACATCATCTATATTTTTTATCTCCTTAAATCTGAGAGCAAATCCAAGGAGAACCAGGACAACTGTGCAATCTCTTTCTACACAGCAAACGGCAGAGCTGAAAGTTTCAACTTCTGCAAGGCTCAGATTTTTTTTTTTTAATGGCATTGATTTTGAACTTATTAACCCCAGCTGCCTCATCTTCCTTTAATCCTGATACAGCAAAACCTGTTTGGGGGCTCAGGACTGGCCATGGACACACCATTTTCTAATGGCTTTGTGAGGGAAAACTGTCTGCCCATAACTGTTAATGCTGCAAACGCTTCTTTAAAACCCTGTAAGCCAGAGGGCCTGGGGCAAGTTTCTGCAGCTGTGCTATCTCCTCTCATTGTTTTTGTGACACTGAAACTGCCTGACCCACTGCATTGTGCTGCCAGGGCCAATTCTGCAATATAGATGCTAGGCGAAACAAGTGGTTGCCTAGGGCAAGAAGATATTAAAAGCAGCAGTGATTGTTTCTTTGCCTAAATGGCTTCAAGAGGCTGTTTCAGTTTTCTTCTGATAACAAGAGCCCTAGAACAAGGCACTGGCCTATTTAGCCCTATGAGTTTGGAAGGCAAGATAGAAGTTTGGCTCAGAAGGTTTGTGGTTAGAATATGCCAGTTATTTCTATTTGTCTCCCGAGCCCTTTATGGCCTCCAAGGACTTTTACATCTTGGGGCTTTCTGTGCCTCAGAAATTCTGACTCTGCAACTTTAATGTAAATAAGCATTCACAGTTGGAAAGTTTTCTGCAGAAGAGTGCATCAAAATCTTAAAACTATGGAAAATATTATTTAATTTTCCTACTTGATTATTCTTTCCACTGAGTTGTCCAAGATACTTCCATTAGTATGCTTTTTTTCTTCTTGTCTAAGTTCTTCCCCATGATTCTGAAGATTTCAAGTATGTGTTCAGCAGACTTGCTCTTTACTGTTTTA